TGTGATACCTTTTTGTATTTCCTGCAGCAGCATTCAGTTCCCTCCCAATCGACTTAATTCCTCCTTTTTCCCATTTTTATGTCCACTAAAGTAATTTGCAAAGAGCAGTTGTTCTCAACATCAGTATGTAATTACGGCTTTCCACACGACTGCCTGTGAGGAAGAGGGGTAGTTCCTCTCTCTTTTAGGACAATATCTGCTGATGTTGTTATCTATGAAAATGAGTTGCTTGGTGTCTATCTTGTTTAAACAAAAATTTAAAAATCCAAGCACCAGTACGATTGCTTTATTTATATAGATTCAGACCTTTTAATGACAGATTCCTATCTCCTGCAGGTTGCTGGAAATTTTCACTTTGCACCAGGAAAAAGTTTCCAACAGTCTCATGTACATGGTAAAGTATTTTCTTTTCCTGCCTATTTGTGACCGTTATCTTCCAACTGTATCTGACTGTTTACTGTGAATATCTTTGCATTTCTATCTGTAATAACAACAGCAGTGCTTCAGTGGGGAGGGCATTGCTGAAGTTTTGTTACAGAGGTTTAGAAGCATCATGAACAAATAAAAAAGTGGTTTCTGGAGGTGCTACCACATGGGTGTGGAAAAACTTGGAGGAGGATATTTCTGGGGAGTCTCTCCGTCTCCCTTGTTCTACAAAACTTTGCTGCTCTGCTGTAAAAGAACCTCATGTAAGATGTTCAGTCCGGGACCTGAATATCGGTATCTCTGGAAGGGATATTTTGGAGAGTTAGGAGAATTTTAAAGCAATTCAGAACTTTTAGAGTAAATTTTAAGTTTTGAAGGAATTCCTCAAGTATATGTATAAATACACAGTGGCCAGAGTAATGGTGGTAGTTTATGGAATCAGAGAATGGTTTGGGTGGGAAAGGACCTTTAAAGGTCATGTGTTCCGACCCCAACCCTGCAATGAGCAGGAACATCTTCAACTAGATCAGGTTGCTCAGAGCCCTGTCCAACCTGACCTTGAACCTTTCGAGGGATGGGGCATCTACTACCTCTCTGCGCAACCTATGGCAGTGTTTCACCACCCTCGTCATAGAAAATTTGTTCCTTATATCTAGTCTGGATCTACCTTTTTTTAGTTTAAAACCATTATACCTTGTCCTGTCGCTACAGGCCCTAAGAAAATGCCTGTCCCCACCTTTCTTATAACCCCCTTTTAAGACTTGAAAGGCTGCAGTAAGTCTCCCTGGAGCCTTCTCTTCTCCAGGCTGAACAACGCCAACTCTCTCCACCTTTCCTTATAGGAGAGGTGCTCCATCCCTCTGATCGTTTCTGTGTCCCTCCCCTGGACCTGCCGCCACAGGTCCCTCCTTGTGCAGTATTGCGGGGGGGTTCTCACCAGAGTGGAGTAGAGTACCAGAATCCCCTCCCTTGGCCTGCTTTTGATGCAGCCCAAGATACGGTTGGCTTTCTGGGCTGCGAGCACACATTGCTGTATCAGGTCCAGCTTTTCATCCACTGGTACCCCCAAGTCATTCTCAGCAGGGCTGCTCTCAATCCCTTCATCCCTCAGCCTGTATTGATACTGGGGGTTGCCTTGACCCAGGTGCAGGACCTTGTACTTGGCCTTGTTGAACCTCATGGGGTTCACATGGGCCCACTTCTCAAATTTGTCCAGGTCCCTCTGGATGGCATCCCGTGCCTTGGACGTGTCAACTGTACCACTCAGCTTGGTGTCATCTGAAAACTTGCTGAGGGTGCACATGATCCCACTGTCGATGTTGTTGAGGAAGGTGTCGAACAGTACTGGTCCCAATACAGACCCCTGAGGGACACTACTTGTCACTGATCTCCATCTGGACATTGAGCCGTTGACCACTCCACTCTGGATGCAACCATCCAGCCAATTCCTTATCCATTCAATAGTCTACACATCAATTTAGAGAGAAGGATGTTGTGGGAGACCATGTCAAAGGCCTTACAGAAGTCCAGGTAGATGATATCAGTAGCTCTTCCTTGTCCACTGATGTAGTCACTCCATCATAGAAGGCTCCTAGGTTGGTCAGGCAAGACTTGCCCTTGTTGAAGCCATGCTGGCTGTCTCAGGTCACCTCCCTGTCCTCCATGTGGCTTAACATGGCTTCTAGGAGGATCTGTTCCATGATCTTCCCAGGCATAGTGGTAAGGTGACTGCATCAGCCAATTCTCTCAGGACTCTGGGATGCATCTCGTCGGGTTCCATAGACTTCTGTATGTTCAGGTTCCTCAAGGGGTCTTGAACATGATCTTCTCTTACTGTGGGAGGGACTTTGCGCCCTCAGTTCCTGTCTTATATCTTTAACAGGAACTTGATTAAAAATGTTTGTGTTTTAATGGAACCTTTGCAGTTCCCTTGATCAAGTTTTTGAAGCATGAAATTTCACAGAGGTTTCACAAAGAGCTTTAATTTCAGCCTGATTTTTCACCTTCCTGTCACTCCCTCGAGTTTAACCTGTACCACTGCGGTAAAGGTTGGGGGAGAACATGAATGTGCTTTGTGAGAGTAAATGGTGTGTGTATTTGGAGAAAAACAAGGAAGCTTTTGAGCCCAGTTTCTACAGATGAAGCAGCATTTTAGTGTGAAAAAAAGCACCTGGTTTTCCCCACAATATTAATTGTTGTTAATAGTAAATTATTTCGCTTCTTCCTGCAGAACTTGCTTTGTTTGCTTAAACTGGCATAACAACAGCAACCCTACTACAGCCAGTATTTACAGCTTCACAGCATGTATGTAAGTGAACGAGAAGCATCTCTGCATTGCAGCTGTTGTCTGTAATAGGCATGAATGCAAGCTGGCTGTCCTGAGGGCAAGTACTGTGTGTAGACAGAGGAGGGGTGAAGTCAGGACAGCTCTCTGACTGCATGTGCCCCAGAAGTCTTGCACAACTGAATTGAAAACTCTGGGGAAAATACAGGTGAAAACCATAAAGGACTATGTAGTTCCTGCAAACCTCTTGGAGGCAGGAGTTAGGAGTGTTTGTGTTTTGAGGACAGTGAAAAGGAGTAGGAGGAGGGATGAAGAGCAGACAAAATTTCCACTTTCTGGGAATTCTGTCACATTAAATAATGAGGAAAAAAGGCCCCTAATACTTTTACACTGAAGAGTGCCAGCTCACTCAGATGGTCTTTTGTGGAAGCCGTCGGACCTCTGAGCTTCCTTGCTGGATTTCTC